AAATATAACGATCATTAATACATTAAGATTAGTTAAAAATAAAAAAAACTCAAGAAAATTCGATAAATTATTTCACATGTGAAAACGAATGTCAAATATAACGATCATTAATACATAAAAATTAGTTAAAAATAAAAAAACACAAGAAAATTCATTAGATTATTTCACATGTGAAAACGAATGCAACGTTTAACGATATGTAATGAGTTAGTTACCGTTAAAACGATAATCACGCGTGAAAAAGCATGAAAAATCTAACGCGTTTACACGAGTTTCCGGAATATAACGAAAGTTCATGATAATTATCTCCGTGAAATGTCGTTAATTTGTTTTTTAACGCATTTTTTTGCGTTAATTTTAAGAATCATTTCGTTAAATACCTTTTTATTTTTACATGGGTAGTTTTTGAAAACATATTTTGGACGGGGCGGGGCGGTGACGGTTTCAATGCTGAACAGGCGGGGCGGTGGCGGTGCGGAACGTTGTCAACGGGGCGGGACGGGGCGGTGACGGTGCGACTTTTTTGCTGACTCGTCCATCTCTGCAACATACTACAAAAAAATTGTTCACAGTTACAGGGAACGTATCCAATGTGATATCTATAATTTAGATGTCATGAAAATCAAATATCTCAACTTTTACCAAACAAATGATAAAACAAACAATCCTTAGTAAAACGTTTGTAGAAATGTATATATGAACATGACGCCTCTGTATTGAGCTTTTCAGTTGATTCCTGGTTGTATATATGAAGAGAGAAAGCAAGTCTAATTATACTTTAATAATGAAGATTTTATTGGTTGAAAGACCTATTCATTTTCCTTTTTCATATATTATACGAATTTGAAATTAGATTAAGAGTTAATATGAAAATGGTCATCATCAATATTTATAGCACTCTCAGAATGGTTGTCGTCTTACGATATTTTGAGTAAAAGAGGCTTCAGAAGAGAACAGATTTTTCTGGAAACCACATAGATTTATAGAGTATGATTTAGTACAGTTTTTGATCATAAAGGCTTTTAGTTCTCATCTTATTTTTGAATACAACAAGGTCCTACAAAAATCTAAAAAATGACCTATGTCGTATGCGAATGGTATCTATTGAACCTGTGTGACCTGATATTATTTGGCATGAAAGTTACTGATAAATTTGAGCAATATGTCATTTTGTAGAGGATTAAAAACTGCGTTGATCTACACTATTAGTTTTCTTATTGAGTCTACGGAAAAAAAATTATAGGTATCATACTTATCATCCAAAATAGTCAGAAGTGATATACACTCCCGGCCTAGTCCGATCCCCACAATTTTTTTTGCAAACGACTAAAATTAGAAAAAATATACAAAAATGTGCAGAATTTCAAGCTCTATATTTCTGGCATATCGAGAATCGAAACTAAGAGGTCGCAGATTTACGATCTTATCCGACGGTATCCTTTATAGAATTAAGGACCACTACTGTTCAACTCGACCTTATTTAAACATTAACAAAATCGTTTTGTGAAACACAACCTAAAAGATGTGTTGAAGTGTATATGGTAGAAATTTGGACCCACAAATCGATTGTAAATAAATGGAAGAAAACGGTGTCCATTTAATTCGTTACAATAGATTCATCATGTTTCACATTTTTAATCCCGCAAAGGATTGCACTAACAGCTTTTTATTCTATCATTCTGAAATTGCCAAAAAGAGTAACGCATAAAATTTAATAGCAAATCAATGTATTTCATTTCTAAATGAGTTTTATCGTTTGATTTCAACGGAATAATATAAAATTCAGATAAATTAGTAATAAAAAATGCGTCATAATTGGTTAAAAATGACTAATACAAAAGTAGCGCTGTCAATGGGATAGATAATTTTTAATTTTTTGCTTTTATGATAATCTTATCAATCATTTCCAATAATTTCAATCCCTATGTAAAAAAAAATGAAAAATCATTTATATGCACCTTGATCATGACTAATAATAACAAAAATATGATCATGTCTATTCGTTCGTCGATTCATCATCATAATGTTTGTTATGTTTTGTCTTTTCGATGATCATCGTATTACTCAGACATTTTTTTCCCCTGGGGAACAAACCCAGACATCATATTGCAAAAATAATACACAATCATCAAAAACAATCCCACATTGAATATAACCTGTATGTTGTAGAATGTTTTTTATAGGCTTAGATTATTATTTTCTCTGTCGACGTGATCTTGTCTCAACATGACAAATATGAAAGCGTCATTGAAAAACAAAATTAAATGTAAAATTCCAAAAACGTTTATTCAACGATCAGCATTATTCACTGTATCGATTGTACAGAATAAAAGCCGATGATACTAGTGTTGCTGCTGACTCAAACATATACTTCTTCGAATTCTATGTATTTTACTCATATTCTTTAGCGTCATTGATAGTTATGAATTATGTTGAGTTTAGTTTAAAAAATGTTTATGAAAAATGTTTTTTTTTCTTTTTGAAAATTGAAATACAAAAATATAGTAAGACAGTCATTTCTATTCGTCGGGTATCTTCTGTTTATTTTTAATCTAAAATGATAATATTTCTAATGCACAGTAAAGAAAGTAACTAGTAGTGAGAATATGAATGAGGTATGCACAATGACGATAAAAATATACAAAACACGTTATTTAGTAAGATTGATAGTCGACAATAAAAAGAGCAAAATAAAAGGCAAATTTGTATTCGTTAGTAGTAATCGGTAGCATACTAACAGTACGTGAGACAGAGCTCGTTACTCATCTTTATTTCTATATACACGTATACATATAGCCACGTAAAAAATAAAAATGAATTATGAAAGTGATTAGTATAATGCAACGTATGAAAATCCAATAAGAAAAGCAACATGGGATTTATTAGTTTAATTAGTTGTTTTTATTTTCAGATATAGACGAATCATTTTTAGAGAGTAATTTTTTCTTGTAAACATGAACCTAATCAAATTATTTCAAAAAAATAAGAAAAGAAATGATACTTCTAATTGTACATCTATAAATGAAAATTCTAATGTACAGCAGCAATCGAAGCGAATTTTTCCTGGTATAAAACCTATTGATCTCGATGCTCCAGCGTAAGTATAAAGAAAAGCATTCTTAAATATATAATTTGTTTTAATTAAAAATTAATTGAATATGTTTATATAGACCAGCAGATATTTCGGAAGAATATCGTCAATTTCCATTTCCAACACGTCGTGATGATATAACAACTGAATATGATGTATCAGCAGAATTATTAGGTGCTGGTATGAATGGTGCAGTCTTGGCATGTTGGCATCGTGCAACCAATCGTAAATGTGCTCTTAAAGTAAATTAGTTTGAATATGTGCTTTTTGACTTTTTTCTTTCTTTTTACTTCAAAATAATTTTATTTTTAATTTAGATAATAAAAGATTCAAATAGAGCTCGACGTGAAGTTATTTTACATAGAAAAGCTTGTGAAGGATGTGATCATATTGTTCAAATACTCGATATTTATGTACATAAAGGATTTTTTTTATTCGAAAATTTTCGATATTGATTTGTCTTTTTAATATAGGAAAATATGTTTGAATCAAAGCGATGCTTATATATTGTTATGGAATGGTATGTATAAATTCATGTTTTTTATTTATTGCTTTGAGTTTTGTTTTTTTGCTATCTAGTATGGAAGGTGGAGAATTATATAATCGGCTTCGGCATAGAATTGATAAACCATATACAGAACGAGAAGCAGCTAATATTGTTTTAATGATGGCTAAAGCTGTTGCACATTTACATCATATGGATATAGTAAAGAATGATTTTATTTTATATTTGAATATAAATTTTGATTATTTTTTTATTTAGGCTCATCGTGAGTAGTTTTAATTTTTGCGAAAAATAAAATCGAATGAATATTTTCAATAGGTGATCTTAAACCTGAAAATTTACTCTTTACAAATACTTCTGAAGATGCTTTACTTAAATTAACAGATTTTGGATTTGCTAAAGAAGGTGAAATAATAAAAAGAAAAGAATTATAGTGAATTTTATTTATCTTTTTCTTTATTTATGGTATAGGAAATAATGAAAAACTTCCATTGATTACACCATGGTAAGATAGGAAAAAATATTCTTTTGCATTTAAACAAAGATAAACAAGAACTTTGTGAGCTCAGATGTTTTATATAGGATAAAAAGTGATTCTCAATTTAAGCATTTTATCTAGTAAAACTTGATATTTTAAAGATCATTAACATGCATTCTAATTAGCCTAACCATTTACAATGATCTGAAACAATTTTGTTCAAAAATTTGAAGTTTCATTCTCTTATTTTTTTTTAATAGTTATTCTCTATATTATGCTCCACCAGAAATCTTGTCCTATAATAAATATAATAAAGTAAAAAAAACAAAGTGATTTCTTTATTATTCATTTAATCTAATTTTCTTAAATATAAAGGCATGTGATATTTGGTCAATGGGTGTTATAACGTATATTATTTTATGTGGTTATCCACCATTTCATACTGCTCGTAGTGGTATGATTGGTACTCATAAAATGAAATCAAAAATCAAAGCTGGCAACTATGAATTTCCAAAAGCTGAATGGAATAAAATTTCACCAGAAGCTAAATCACTTGTACAAAAAATGTTAATAGTTGATCCATCTGCACGTGTTACTATCGATTGGATTCTTCAATGTCCATGGTTAGTTGGTCCAGTACCTAAAACACCAATTGATATTAGTCCAATGCTTGATTTTAAAAATTATGAACAAACGCAAGTATGTAAAAAAAAAATTTTTTTTAAATTTTCATATTTAATTTTTCTTTTTTTCTTCACTTTTGTTTTAGATTGAAAGTAAGTTGGTTTTAATTAATTTTGATCTTTCTTTTTATTTTATTTTTATTATTCATCTATAGTTGCTGCTGCAAATGATGCTCAACGTCGTCTAGTTGATGATGATGATGGTGCTGATGAGGATGATTCAAATATAAATCTTCCTACATATAATAACTCACGTTTAGCAAAACGAGTTGCTCAACGAGAACAAAAACGTGCTATTGCAAATGGCACACCACCATTATCACAAACTGACGAACGGGAAACAATTGCTTTTTTTTAGATACATAATAATTTTCTTTTTTTTTTGTTTTTTTCTCACCAATGCTCTTATTAAATAAGCTTTTTTTTTTGTCGTGAAAGTTGTGATGAAACTCTTTCATATGACTAACTTCTCTTTTCGTCTGTTCATTGTATTTATTGGATCAAACAATGCGTGCGTTTTCATCAATATTATTTCAGATATGAACTCATTTATATTTTTCTTATTTATATACGTATATATCTAAATATATCTATGTGCGTGTGTGAAAAAATTCAAATAAAATAAATGTATAATCACATTCATTTCCAGATGATTATTTATATTGATCAATTAAAGAATCCAGGAGTTACTGAAATTCAATTAGAAGTATTTATTTAAATATTTCTTTCTTATTTAATTCTTTTAATACCAAAAAACAAGCAATAATCTAGATTTCTCCAATCGTTACAATTCAAGAAATAAAATCTCGTCTTTCAAAACACTCAAATATTCCAATAAATCAATAAAAATTAGTTCTAAAAGATAAACCATTACATGATGAATGCTTAAGTAATCATCAAATAACTAATAGTTTGAAAGTATTTACATTTAATTCTTTCAACACAAATTTCGACAAATAAATCGATAAATAATGCATTTTTTTTTTAATGAACTACATTTATTTACTTCAAAATTCAAATGAACGTGAAGCATTTGTAATCCATTTTCAAAATCTAAATTAAAAAAACATGAAAGAAAAACTCCCATAAGAAATAAACATTTTTCTGTCTGTTTATAGGAAATGAAAGATGCTATTGATCGGTTAAGTTTGAATGATATTAAAAACATGATGTATTGATCGATTAGATCAAATCATCTGAAATATTATATATTAATCATCGATCTTGAGTAATCATACCCACTTCCGTTCTTTTTTATTTTACATTTTAATTGTTAAGATGAAAACATTTTTAAAAAATTGTTGTCCATTTCCTTTGATATCTTATTGCATATTCAAAGCTGCGAGTCAATGGTAACTATCGGATAAAGCAGATCTGTTCTATTTTAATAGAATGAAATCTCAAACGAAAATCTCTTCTTTGTACAATGCTAATGCACATTGTTTGTGAATTGACGAATATAAACTTTGTTTTAAATTGCACATACATAAGAAAAATATTTCCTATAACAATATGAAACAATCTGTTCTCGTTTGAATTCAAACGAACAAAGCAATAGAGATAATTTATTAATGATTCAGCTCCGTTTCGTTGACTAATTATGAGCAACTTTTGGCAAAATTTCCGATTGTTTGACGCGAGTTTTTTTTCTCGTTTCGTCTACAAATGTTTTATTTCCATTTTGTCGATAACTTGTAGGTGTCGATGTGAGTGTGAATTAATACTGCAGAAACATACCCACACTCACATCCTATTCATAAATCTTGAGTGGGTGAGGGCGAGACACTCATAGCCACATCGCACAATGTGAGGTTACAAATCTTCAACCTACAAATACAGTTTAAAATTCGAATATTCGAATTATAAATTTAAAAAATTTTTCAAATTCAAGAAGTTTTAAAACTTGAATTGAGTTAACGAGCTCTACACTACTGATTTTAACGGTGGATTTTGCACGTCTGAATCTAAATATGGCAATGGTTTATTTTTCCAATATTCATTCTTTTTAGTCAGTAATATTTTTATCTGCTATGAAGAATTGAAATGGTGAGTCAGTTTTATCGTATTTATTAATATCTATAAATTCTTTTTCTATTTACTGCAAAAAAATGGCGTGTCAACTTAAATCCTACCAAAACAGTTTATCAACTTTCCGAATTTCAAATTGTCATCCCGGATTTACTTCTTTACCATGGCAGACATCGGTTAATATGAGTTCAACAATTTCGCGGTCAAAGAAAAAAATAGAGACTTCTCTAATCCAGATAATGATTATGATAAGAGTAAATTGACAGCGTTTGGTTCTGTTTGTTATTCAGCTTTGTGCGGTTATTCTTAAAAGAAAGAAAAAGTAGGATTTTATAGTTCCACTATTTCTCGAGTGGAATTCTACAAAATGTATTTTATTTCAAACCATTTATTCATGGTTATCATGGTTTACAGCTAGCTCCAGCTGTAAGAAAAATACTACATTGATTTAACGTGTTTTTTAAGAAACAACACGTAGAAAACTGTAAAACATCCCTATAGCGCATGAAACTGTATTCTGTGATGTCACTTGTTTCAAAAAACATCGGTTTTCTGCAAAAACTTGAAAAATATACACTTAAATAAAATGCGTCGTATTTATATGTCGCTCGTGATAGTATCGCCCATTCTACCACGAAAATATGTTGCAATCAGAATGTCTCTCGCTATAAATGTATCGTAGTCTATCGGCTCACTAATCATTCAGTGTTTTGTTTCGCGCATACAACTACCTATAAACAATTCTATTTAGTATACCCAACTTATACATTTTCGTATATATTCTTTTTCTAGATTAGTCATTTATATCCGAGAACATATGAAGAAATTGATCATGAATGAACTGCCTTGAAGCAGTCTGATCGAGATCAAATTGACTCAGGACTGAAGATCTTATTGTCTACATCTAAGTATAGGTTATTGCTAATTCGACTTAAACTAAAAAAGGAGTCATTTTCGATTTTTTAGAAAAAAATAGTCGACGAGTCGAAAAATTGATTCGAATCACGGTTTCAGAATATGACGCATGTGTTGCAACGAACGCATCGTATCGTACTTTAATACGTCGCAAAGTACGGCACTTGCGACCCATTTTATCTGAGTGTGTATCATTGGTGGAGTCATATATAACTATGTAGGTTCGAAATAAAAATAAATAAATAAAAGGTAAAAACTCATGTCTTTTTAGATTATAATGTTATAAAAATATCAAAATATAGCTATGGCAACTTCATCTTCATCACACGTTAAAAGTGAATCAACAGGACCATTTTATTCTGATCATGAAGCAAATTTATCATATACACTTGAGCATAATTTACCAAATCAAATAGATTCAATACCTCCATCATCATCATCATCGATTTTTATTGATGCACCTGTTCTTCCATCAAATGAAACACCATCTGAATTTTTACAAGGTTTTTCTGCACCGACCCCACCAGTTTATATTAATATGAGTATAAGTGAACAAACAAGTGATGTTGATTTTGCTGGACCAATAACAACAACAGACCCACCTTTATCACCTTCATATACTGATTATCCATTACCTTCAACAACAGTTCAGAGATATAGTCATTATCATCATCTTCCACATCATTCACAGAATCAAAATCGTTATCCATATGTACCTTATTATGAGCAACGATCTGCTTTTCGACGACCAAGAACACCAAACGGTATAGAAAAAAAAAATTAGCAAATTTTTATTGATAATATACTTTTTAGCCCCGTCAATGCCAGAACATTTATTGCCTGGTTATACACAAGATAGAACAGCAACATCAAGAAATAAAAATGATAGAGATTATAACGAAAATAAAAAAGAAGAAGGTAATTTATGAAATATATT